TTGAGTATTAATGCGTTCTTCCTTTATATATTGTTTGCAGATATCATCTTACCCAGGTTTTGACATGTTCCGAGATCCAATTCAGCTGATCTCTAATCTGATGTAATTTGGGGATAGACATTGTTCATCATGGTTATCATGTACGTTAGTGAAATATGTGTGAGTGGTATTACTGTTGGTATCCTATAAATGTTTATTGTATTCTGTAGCTAATATGTTAGTCGAATTTTGTGATGTTATCTTTATATTTTCTTTCTTCTTGAGTGATTGCATCCAATATTTTTCTATTGAAATGTTTCTCTTTACTAGCCTGACTGATCCCATTATTTTGATGTTGCTACAATGAGTTCTTGGTGATTTTTTCTCTTTCCCTCCTTTTCAAGTTACTTGTACTCTGTTACATATTTAAAATCCCACGTAAAATACACGCAACTTTAAAATAGTTATTTTTCAACACCGACTCAAATCCTGTACTTAAATGTTTGCCCAGATGAAGATGAAAAAGTGGTTTTCTCAAAACGTATTTTCGTTGTTCTCTGAATTTTAGAAAATTGCTTAAGTTAGAAATAATGCGAGAAAATTTGTTGTTGTAGCACCACTAGATTTAAATTTACTGCTTATTCATTTTCATTTTCGCGTTCGATTTTTCTGAAAATCTTAAATTAAGAGTTTGAAGGTCAGCAAATATTTTAGAATAACCCGGTGGCGGAGAATAATAATAATACGGTGGCGGAGAATAAATGTCATAAACTTCTACGGCAGTGCCAATACCCATCAGGGACAAATTCAACATGTAATTGTTAAATATTAACAGTTGACGTTTATTGTAAATATTAAGAAATGAATTAATTTTAAAAAACGCAACTTTATGTGCATTTTAGAGAGCGTATTAGGAAGGGTGTTGGAAGCCCTGCAAATGCAGTTTCCCGGGTCCATGGTGACGGGTTGACCTCGCCTCCCTGGTCACCGCATCCTCTTCGCCGCATTGAGCAACGCAGTCCTCGCCTCATTTGTCCTGCGGCTGGGCGCGTTCCAGCCCGGCCTGACCGGGCGCGACATTTCCCACATGGTCTATCGAAAAGTGTTCATGTTTAACATTCCAAACCGCCTTAGAAGTTTGTCCCGTTTATTCTCATTAGTAAAAACTTTAGAAATGAAACTACAGCGGTACACAGTGCAATGAGCACGCAGCTCTCTGACCTGCATTTACGCGACGCGACGCGGCGCCTGCCTGGCCAGGCCCGAGTCCCGTCGCATAGCGGGTGCGCCGCCGCCCCCGCTGCCGCCGGGCGCCGCTCAATCACTGCCGCCCGACGCCGCGCCGCGTCGCGACGCCGCTGGCCCTCGCGGGAGGCCGCCGCCGGCCCTCGCCCACCCCGCCCTCCCGCAGAGGCCCTTCGGACGTGTATCGATTCTGTCGCTATTCGACCACGCGCCGCCCACCGCCACTGCAGTGATTGCTCGCGGAGCCCTCGCCGCACGCGCCGCGCCGGGCCGCGCCCAGCCGCACGACAAATGACGCGAGGACTGCGTTGCTCAATGCGGCGCAGGTGGTGCGGTGGCCAGGGAGGCGAGGTCAACCCCTAACCAAGGACCCGGGAAACTGCATACGCAGGGCCTCCACGCCCTGAGCAATACGCTCCCTAAAATGCACACAAAGTTGCGTTTTTAACAATGAAATCATTTCTTAATATTTACCATAAACGTCAACTATTATGTCATTATTTATTGTTATGACATTATTTATGTAAATAACTATGAATAGGGACATAAAAGCCCCGTATATTTACTGACATATTAAATAATAAAATTTCAGAACCCACATATTTATAACTTCTGAGACTTTTCTCTTTGCCAGTAACAAACATGAGGGTAGAAAGATAGAAAAGGGGAATTACAGGTAGGACAAGCTCTCATAATTACAGCTGTGCAGAGTAATAAGCGAAATAATAAACGAGAAGGCCTCTTGACAATTGTTCTCATTATTGCGTATACATTCTAGGGGACCCATATGAATACCATTTGGGAGACGACCAATGATGATAGGAGGGGGGGAACGGACAGCCGAACAACCAATTGCAATATATCTAAAGAAATATATTATATCTTTACGAAAAAAGTTTACTTTTCTAGCAATATAAAGCAATTATTTTCTGTATTCTGTATATTAACATATTTGTACACGTTGGGGCTTGGCAAGGTC